CTACCACATGGATTTCAGGAATCAAAATCAGGTCACTGGGTTTGGCAGCAGGTGTTTACCTGCTGAGCCACATTACCTGTCCTGGTTATCTTTGACAGATCAATATAGTAAACATCCTTTGGCAGGGTATGAATTCCAAGAGGACATGCGGAGTGCTTTATCACAACGCCTGAGGGTCCTCATGGTGCCTAACAGGAAATTCATCAACAGCTGCTATCACAGCAGCCAAGGGCCAAGGTGTTGGCTCTAAGGCCTGGGCTGCGCCAACAGTAGTGCAGCCTCCTGGATATGCTCTGCTCATATCCTTTGCCACTAGGTATTACAAAGGACTTTGTTTCCCTAATTCAAAATCTGTTTAAGATAATTTAAACAGGGGCTGGAGAGATGGCTCAGCAGTTAAGAGCAGTAGCTGCTCTTCCAGAGGTCTAAGTTCAATTCCCAGAACCCAGCTGTCTCCAACTCCAGTTCCAGGTGATCTGATACCTTCATATCAATGCACATAAAATGAAGTTGAATAAATTATTTTTTTAAAAAGATAATTTAAACAGAACAAGACAAAACCCAGAAGCTATCATGGAATTCAAGTCTGCACTTTTTTTTTTTTTTTTTTGGTTTTTTTGAGACAGAGTTTCTCTATGTAGCTTTGGAGCCTGTCCTGGAACTCACTCTGTAGCCCAGGCTGGCCTTGAACTCACAGAGATCCGTCTGCCTCTGCCTCCCGAGTACTGGGATTAAAGGCGTGCGCCACCACCGCCCAGCATGTCTGCACTTTTCTAATCTAAGTAGGCACCCACCTTTCAGAAAGACAGAGATACACCAATGGAACACACACCTGAAACTGCTTCATTCATTCAAATGTCCAACAAATGAAAGACAAGGTAAGTGAGAGGTTGGAGGACATGAGCACCAGGCAGAGTTCTTAAAGAACAAAAGGAATTCAGGTGGGCTCCACCAATGAATGGCAAGTTCTAAATGGAGAAAGAAAAGGAGGCTGCTTTAGACTAGAAGAGACAGCATGCTGAAGATCTGGCAGGATTTGGTTCATAAAGGAATAAGATCACAATTTACTAAGTACCCAAGAGGGCAAAAAACAGACCAAGTATTCTTATTCTATAGCCTGCCCACTAAGAAAAGTGGCTCAAATTTGCATATCAAAAGATCTAGACTATTGCAGGATACTGCTATACCTACTACCTAGCACAGTGTGTGCCTGTCTCAAGTCAAATTTTTATGGTTATCAGCATGTCTCATACTTGATGATCCTCCCAATCCATCTCAAATCAAGTTTGCAAAACTGCTCTAGAAGTTACAGTACAGAGCATATATCACATGTTCTGTGTGATAATTCAAGCTGTCCATTTCCAAGGCAGTAACTGGTTCACCAGTCTGTTATCAAATGCAAGACAGAAAATTTAAGTATTCCTGTAAAAATTGCAAGAATGCATGAGTTTATGCTTAAAAACACTGCTCCTAGACTTCTGTAAAGCATAGAATAGCATCAGCAGCTGATGTGTGTCTGTGTGTTTAAGAGAACTGCAGGAGCTGGGAACCTGACTAGGCTCCAAAAGAGGATCAAGGTACACTAGGTGAGATGTAGGAAGGAGTTGGGGTCCAGAGCCGGCTATCCCAGTGTCTTCAGCTCCTGACACTCAACAGTTGCTTCCTGATTTAGGTAGTAAGCAGAGAAGGTTGGCATAACACTAGGCTACAGCTATGGGGGGGGGGGGGGCGGCAGAAATGTTAATGGAATGATGTCTTCAGCAGAATAATTTGAAGGAAGAAAAATCTCCTTTAACTAAAGAAGCTTAAAAATTAATTCAAACAAGGGATCTAAGCTTAAGATGTTAGGCCACAAATCCCAGTTCCTCCTTGCTTCAAAGGGCTGTCATTTACAAACTAGCATCAGAATAGACTTCAACAGAAAAGACTGCAGTCAGAATATAAGACGATATCTCATGAACCACATTTCCAGAGCCTTTGAAGAACACAGAAACAAGTCCCCTAAAATTCAGTCCAGAGGTCCTCTGCTGGTGACTTTGTGCCCAGGGCAACCTGGCAATGTCTGGAGGTATTCTGAGGATACTCCTACACCTGGTGGGCAGAGGTTAGGAAAACTACGAAGCATCCTGAAATTCCTGGCCCCAGAAACATAGATAATGAAGCCGAAAGGTTCTATAAAGAAGCCCGTGCCAGTCCACCACTATGGAGGAAATATAGGAACAGAAAAGAGCCACGACCAGGATCAGGGCATGTCAGCAATAGCACCTCACAGGAAAATGAAGAGAAAGGAAAAAAAGAAAAAGAAGTACTTGTCAGGTGCCTGAGACTGCAAAATAGACATCTTAGTCCACTGCTTAAGCCCACCTACAGTTCTCAAGCCTGGACATCTGAGGAGGCCTTGCTTGGCAGGTGAAGAATCTGTCAATGACCAAAAAATGTAAATTTCAAATTTTTCAGTGAATAAAAAAATATAAAGGTCTGTCCAGTATACTCCAGCTTCCACTGTTTTTCAGGAGCTCTCCAGCCTCCAGTCCTCACTTCCTGTGAAGCCCAATCCACCATGTCATACCTGCACCTAGACCTTCCTAAGTACTGCTCACAAATACATCTCTCCTAGTGTCCTGATGGATTCTGTGTCAACACACACTTCTGAATCAAAGCTATAAAGCTTTCCAGTACCCACCATTAATTACTCATGAAATTTACAGGAAATGAAGCTAAGTATGTAGCTCAGTTGGCAGAGTGTTTGCCAATCATGCATAAAGTCCTAGATTTGATATCCATCACTGCATAAAGTGGGCGTGGTAACACATGCCTGAAATCCCAGCACTTAGAAGATGGAGGCAGGAGGAGCAGAAATTCAAGGTCATCCTTTGCTAACCAGTGAACTGCAGGCCAGCCAAGACTATATGAGAGTCCATCTCAAACGACAAAGAACAAAACCAAACAAACAAGCAATAATAACTTACAGGAAAAACATTAGCAAAGCTAAAACACACTGTCCACAGAACAGAAATTATATGCTAGGATCTAAAGGACTTGGAAGGCAGTGCTGCTTTTTCCTGGAGGAAGTAGCATGTCTACCCACAAAAACTTTGCTTACTGTCAATCTTCAAAAAAGAAAGAGATGGCAATCTTGTTTAATAACACCACCACCTCTCTGTACCTGCATGAGGATCCACATAATCATTTTAGTCAGAAGCTGTGCAATAGCTTTGGAATGCAAAGTGCATTCATGATCACCGGGCAGACTGGAGAAATGCTTTCCTGTCTATCCATCCATTTCACTGCCTAATGCATTCAGTAAGCCAGGGAGGGAGCTCTGGAAACCTTTTCTGTCTGTGGGTCCCAAATTCACCAGCCAAACCAAAAAACCACATTCTCCCACAGCAACTTCCTTGCAACAGGCCTGGAGGCCCTGACTAGGCCCCAAAGTCAGTGGTTACAAGTTCACTGACAGCAGTCCCCAGGTATAGACCACTATGAGCTGTAGGGTTTCCATCTGTCAATCAACAGAAATCCAACAATGCCAGAAAACTATTGGTAACTGCTACTATTACTGGTAGTACATCAGTAATCCCAGCACTCCGGAGGAAGTAGAAAGAGATGAGAGTTCACAACCAACAGAAGCCTGTTTAAAAAAAAAAAAAACAAACAAGGCCTGAGGGTATAGCTCAGTAGCAGAGCATTTGCCTAGTATGCACAAGACATAGGTTTGTCACGAGTACCTCCCCCCAAAAACCCTTCGTTCTGAAGGTGTAGCAAACAGACTGGTGATGCCAGCATTGTTTGCTCCCTTCCTTGGTCAAATAAAGCACGGGATACAAAACAGCAATTAAATATGGCTGCTCACCTACTACTGAAGAGGAGCAGCAGGGCCTTGCTTCTGCCCTCCTGTGAAGACCAATTACACCAGAGCAGTCAGATGTCACAGGGACAATGACAGCAGATAACTCCAGTGAATGCCAAGACGTCCATGTGCAATATGTGATCACTCACTTCACCCTAGGGGGGAAACAAATGCTCCCTAGGGCTTACATCAGATGAGAGAACACCAGCAATCAGGTGCCTCCCATACACACTCTGGGTCTCCCTAAGCACAAGAAGGCAGCCTCGCTTAGAACCCGTGCTCTTCAATCTTGGCTAAACTACCCACCCACCACCAAGCCACATAGCAACTGCTCAGTCACCACAGAGATAGACACGGTGCCAAGCGCTCCAGAAGAAAAGCTGCCCAGCCCTCAGTAGGAATGTAAAACCCCAAGGCTCAGCCGGCCTTCCTTAAAAACTACCGAATTTGTTCTCTGAAGGATTTCTTCCCTGGTGCTTCACCGCAGTGCATCCGGCACCATTAAACCCTCTTTTAACAGAAGAGCCACTACCAGTCTTCCGTCAGGGAAGAACATTTGTCCTAAAGGAACGCACTGGCGCAGCGACCACCCAAGGTCACACCCCGGAAACCAAGGGCAGGAGCTGCGCTTGAGTTATGGGGACGCCCAGAGGGGCAGGGTGCCACCGGGTCGCCAATGCTCCCCACTGGTCCCCTAATTAACGCCAGAGGCTTGTCCGCCACGCCCCAGGTCGAGCTTCCGGAAGGACGCCGGGTGCCGCCGCGACCCACGCCCGCGACCAGGGCCCCCAATTCTCCAGCGCCCGCAGCCTGGGCCGTAGCCTCGCTGGCCGCACTCGGACGGCCTGTAGCCTCTAGGCTCCGAGGGATGGGCGGAAGGCGGGGCTCAGGCACCGTCGCCCGGACTTCGGAGGCCCTCAGACCCCGCCGCCCCGCGCCATCGGGACCCAGTACGCCGAGAGCTCCCGGGGACCCCACCGAGAGGCCCTGGCCCAAGCCCGACGCCCTGAAGAGCCACAGCCCCACCGCCCCCGACCCCGCCCCCGGCCGTGCAGCCCCTTCAGAAGCGGCTCCGGCCTCGCCCCAGCCCCTGCGCCTCTACGACCCTTCCGAAGGTGCGGTGGCGGCTCGAGCCGCGCCCAGAACGCACCTTGAGGGTCGGGTACTCCTGCACCTTCAGGGTCATGGACAGCTGGGCCGCCGACTCCTGCACCGCCATCTTGGGCCGGCCGAGCGGAGGAGGCGGGTACGCGGCACGCCGGGTAGTGACGTGCGACGCGCGGGGGGCAGGCGGAGCGGCTGTGCGTCTGCACCAATCGTGTCCCCGGACCGCCCGAGCGGAAGAAGTCCCGGGCCAATCACCGTCCGCGGGCTCCACCAATCGTTGACAGCTCTAGAGAGCGGCTTCCTCATTGAATTGTCCGCCGGCCTAGGCCGCAGATGCCGACCCAAGAGTAGAGCTTAGACACCTACGCCGTATGCATCTTGGCGGTTGGGACTGGGGCAGCGCGCGTTGGGTGGCTCGCTTGTAAATGCACGCCCCCCCCGCCCCACCGGCCACTTCTGGTAGTGGTCGTAGATCCTACCTCAGTGCTCGGTGGCCGTCATCTCTTGGTGGTCACTAGGGGGTGCGGTTTTTTGCCATCCGGGAACTACTTTGCTTCGTCTCCATTTTTACAGATTAGCAGCGCTGGAATCCTGACACGGGCTTCCTAATGGAAGATAAAAATGAATGTTTACAATAGAGTGGGACGGGGCCTGCGAGCAGCTGGGCTTTCTCGCAGGTAATACCATAAGGAACACTTGGCAACTGCTTTTGCTAAAAAATGTTGACTCCTTGAATTGAGTACAAAAGGCACCTGGAGTGTCCAGTAGCTGTGCTACACTTGTAGTCAAATTGGATTCCTGGAGCAATGACATCCTTCTAACAAGGAACTGGAACTAAGCAATGTTGACCTTCCAGGGCCCCCAAGTGAGGGCAATTATCTGTGATGTAGGCTGCACCCTAAAGCACAAGTAATGATGACCCGAGAATGAGCTTGTCCCCTCAAGCAATAAGGAGTTCTTTGAATCACCTCACAGAAACAACTGAAAATATGATCAACCAGACCACAACTTGACTAAGATTGTTTAGTTATACCTCTTACCTCTGCTCTAGTTCTTCCTCTATTTTAAACTGAAGTTGGCAGTTGGTGGCCAGACAATAGACCTGGGATGCCACATTAAATTCCTTTCTCTGCATTTCACCATTTTTTGTTGAATTGAAAGTTTGCATGGTGCCTGCAGAAGCCAGAAGAGAACATTAGATCAGTTCCAGATAGTTGTGAGTCAAGAACATGGGTGCTGGGAACTGAATATGGGTCCTCTACAAGACCAGCAAGTGCTCTTAAGCCGTGAGCCATCTCTCCAGCCCCCTCACCTGCTTTTAAAATTAAAAATGAAATTAGGTTTCATTTATTAGGAAATAACTTCTACAGTAAAAATAGTCTTTTGTGGTGGGTTTTTTTGTTTTGTTTTTGTTTTGTTTTTGTTGTTGTTTTGGGGTTTTTTGGGGGTTTTTTTTGTGTGTGTGTGGTTTTTTGAGACAGGGTTTCTCTGTGTAGTTTTTGTGCCTGTCCTGGATTTCGCTCTGTAGACCAGGCTGGCCTCAAACTCACAGAGATCCACCTGGCTTTGCCTCCTGAGTGCTGGGTTTAAAGGCGTGTGCCACCACCACTTGGCTGTCTTTTGTATTTTATAGAACTCAATTTTAGTTGTTTTGTTTTTATTCTTTGAGACATGGTTTATATATAGTCCTGGCTATTTTGGAACTCACTATGGAGATCAGGCTGGCCTCAAACTCACTGATATCCGCCTGCCTCTGCTTCCTGCGTGCTGGTATGAAAGATGTGTGCCGCCACCACCCGTCAGAACTCAATTCTTCAATGTTTAAACATTAAGGGCAGTGCTAGAAAAGAAAGTACTTATGGTGGTATAGTTCAGGACAGAAAGAACCTGCTGGCAGATGCATGAGAACTTCAGTCACAACCTGCCAGAGCTGGGAGGAAAGAAGCATGACCTAGAAGAGCTTCCCATTTGACCAGGGGATTGGGAGCTTAGGAGATCTTTAGTCCCCAGTGTGTGGGTGCAGACTGCACTCATCCAGGTACTTTTGAATATTTGAGACATAGCTTTGAATAAAGTGCTCACATCTCAACTCGGCAGCTTACTGAACTTTTGCCTCCCACAAACTGATCAGAAGCTAGGGCCATTTTCAATTCTAGAGAAGGTTCCGTGTCCCCTCAGGTCCCATGCCTTTTCCCCCGACCCAGTCCCCACCACTCCCCCATCCCTGGCCCCCATAGTCTTTAGTCTTAGATTTAGTCCTATCTGGCCTGAGATGATGGAGAAATCAGTGACCCTGAGGCACAGAAGTGCACAGCCCTCCAGTCCATTTTTGCACGGGTGGTATTACACATTCTCTTCTGCAGTCACCCTGTCTGACTCTATCATGGTCACATTTATGTTCAGTGCTATGATATTTGCTGCACCATTGCCCCTTAGAGGCCAATTTTATGGTTTCATGGCTTCAAAACTAACCCACAGAGAGAAACGAATTTCTTCTCTGATGCTGTCAGGATGAGGTGTCTAGAGTTGTAGGAACGAATTCTTTTTTTTTTTTTGGTTTTTCGAAACAGGTTTTCTCTGTGTAGCTTTGTGCCTTTTCTGGATCTCGCTCTGTAGACCAGGCTGGCCTCGAACTCACAGAGATCCGCCTGCCTCTGCCTCCCGAGTGCTGGGATTAAAGGCGTGCACAACGACCGCCCGAGGAACAAATTCTTATTCTGTTGATTTAAAGACTAAAAAGGCAAGAAAAGCAAGGTCTCAGCACTCAACCAAATTTGTTGAAAACAGAAGCATGTACACAGACACAGGGCAAACCACACAAAGACGTTCTCTGCAGCAGGAAGGGAACCAAAAGATGGCACCAGAGTCTACTGGGGGGGGGGGTAGGAGGTTTTATATTTGGGAATGGGGTGAGTCCCCTTTCTCCTTTGACTGGTTTGAGCTCTGGCAGGGGATTGTATGAACCAAATACAGGGAAGCCAATTCGTTCCCACCACAGGAGCTCTCCAGTAGGAGGTTTGAAAGTGTAACCCAGCAGTTCCCTCTATGAGAGTCAGGGGAAAGCCCATCAAGTCTTTGTCTTAAAGAGGAAGAACCAGGAAGTCACCCATCTTAAATATTTAAGTGAAAAATACACTGATCTACTCAGAGCTTCTTTCACCTGCTTTGTCTTCCTACCAGGGATCTGTCTGGTTCCTGGTTCCTCATCTCCGTACCAAGCAATCATGTTTTAGTGCCATTGAACTTAATCAGGACTGTTCAGCAATATAAAGTAACCTTTCGCACATTGAAGCTATAGACCTTACACGATCTGATTGCATCCTTCACTCTAGATCAGTGGTTCTCAACCTTCCTAATGTTGTGGCCCTTCAATACAGTTCCTCGTGTTATGGTGACCCCCAACCATAAAATTATTTTGTTGCTACTTCACAACTGTAATTTTGATACTGTTATGAACTGTAAATATCTGATATGCAGGATATCTGACATAAGACTTCCAAAGGGGTAGTGACCCACAGGTTGATAACTGCTGCTCTAGAGTTTTTTGTATTTGAAGATGAAACTGCACTGGAACTATTTTTCTCTGGGTAACAAAATGTTTGAGGGAGAAAAACCTTAAGTTTCAGTCTATAGGCACCTGGCTCCTATGCCTCTGGGCCTTGTGTGGTGAGGCAGAGCATCATGCCAGGAATATGTGGTGAAGCAAAATGTCTCCTCATGGCTGTCCAGAGGCTCAAAGACTGAGAAACAAGACCCTTAATTGTAATACATTCAAGAGACTAGAGAAAGCTGAGCAGTTTTTGTTTTTTGATTCTGCAGAAATGGTGGACATCAACTTAGAGAAAAGGCAAAAAATGGCTGGCACCCTACTTTGACAGGAGATAGTGATTTTCAAAGTCCCTGGTCATGAAAGCTTCCTGCCTTCTTTTTCCCATAGGCTGGTACTTCAGAGAGGTACAATCTTTGCATTTGTCTAGAATAGCCCCCTTCCCAAATCCCCATTCTATTGATTCAGAACACAAGTGTTAATATTCTGACCTGTCCCTAGAAATCCTACCCTTGGTACTGCCTCACATCCTGATGTAAGCCTCATTCTAAGGAAAAGCTCCTCCCCTTCCCCTCTCTCTCTTCTGCTTTTCCCTTCCCCTCTCTCTCTTCTGCTTTTCCTCCCAGCCAGTGTGCACCCTCAACCTCTCTCTCTCTCTCTCTCTCTCTCTCTCTCTCTCTCTCTCTCTCTCCTCCCTCCCTCCCTCCCTCTCTCTCTCCTTCTCTCTCTCTCTGTCTCTCTTTCCTATCATCTCTTTCCTTCACCTCTCTATTATAATAAACTCTCCATGTGGATGCAGCGTCTGGGTTGTGAATTACTGGCCGCCACCACCCCTGCCATGCTCAAATGGCATGTATCTGTCCAGCCCGCTGCTGCATCTGCCCAGCATGTTTCCCTGTACAAGGATGCCCTTGGGGGTCCTCCTGCGCAATAATTCATAGCATTGAATTATTATTCAGTGACACCCCCCAATGTCACCAGGCAATCCCGTTGCTTTCTCTGCCTGCCAGCAGTCTAAGGAACTCTGGGATCCTGTACCACCCGCCATTTTTCAGGCTGGAGCACCACTGGACACTCTTCACCCTATCAGATCGGTAAGATTCCTCCCTTCCCTTCTGGCCATTTTTCCACAAGTGAGGATTTTTCTTGTTTTGCTCACTGGTACCATGTGTCTTTCGGGCTCTAAGCCTCTTCCCGCGCCCCCATCCCTATGCAACAGCATATGGAAATGGCTTGTGCACACTCAATTCCACAGTCCATAGCCATTGGCTATCTTGTGCTGTTCATTAGTCCTCACTGACTCTCTGGGACGCTGGAGGTCAGATTCATCTCTTTTTGCTTTCTGGTACCACGTGTCTTTTGGGCTCATAGCCCTTTGGCCCCCATCCCTATGCAACGGCATATGGAGATGGCCTGTAACCTTTGTGATGACAGTCCATTGGCTATCTTGTGCCATTATTGTTGGCCCACACTCATCCCCTGGGACACCGGAGGTCAGCCTGCTGAGCCTTATACCTCATTGTGGAAAAATGAGCCTACGGCCCCCTGCCCCCACCACTGCCACCGACCCATGGCTTGGGTTCCTTCCCCTGCAGCTGCTCACACCATGCTGTAGCCTGGGGGGTTGG